TCCAGGGACAACGCGTGTAACACGGTGCTCACGCACGGGAAAAAATGGCACACGTGCAGCACCTCTTTTTCTCCAACCAGAGAGCAAAGTCATCTAATGGTGCGTGCACAATGAAATATATGGCATGCGAGCACTGGCCAAAATTTCTATGACAGGTTTCCTTATTCTGAAAAAATTCTAATGGAAACAATATTTTTAATATCATATATATACCTAAAGACACCAGAACGAAGGGAACCTCATTTCTGACCTAAAAATCTTATATTCTACATATTCTTGGAGGAAAAGAACGCCCACATTCCCTTCTACTTTATTTTGCTCTTAGAATTGATGATATATAACTAATTTCTCTCTTGGTAGAAGGATATTGAAACCTTGGAATCATTTTCAATTGTGAGTTCCACCTAATTTTCATTGTTTAATTTATATTTTTAGTATTGAATATTCTTCTACGCTTAATTTCATGAGTGTTATATTTGATTACTAAAAGGATCCATTAGTTTATCATGCGTTTTAATCTATAGTTAAGTTAAATATCAAATCCGTAATTGTTTGATTAATTTAACTTGTGAAGCAACTAGTATTAGTAATTTGCTGTTTTGAAAAATTATTAAATCTTAGGAAGAATATTTATTTAGGTTAAATGCAAAGGCTTGACTTGTGTTATCTAAGTTCATTGATTTCTCTAATTTGGAAAGCCATTATTAAATTAAATTCTCTCGCTTGTCTAGGATTGTTTGGTAATCAGGATTAATTAGATCGCTTGTTTCTAATTAATTAAAAGTAAGGAAAATAGGAAATTATTTCGAATGGGAAATTATTTTCCAACGATGAATACTAAAAGTATGAATTAATAATTATTTGTGGATCAATGACCCATTGTAAATCTCCAACGGTGGATGTTGACTTAGACCATGGTTCGTTCCATTGATTTCATTGAATTCGATAAGTTGCGTTTACATTAATTGATATTTTTAATAATTGTTTGTTTCAAAATCAAAAACCCCCTTTTAGTTAATTTAGCATAAAAGATAGACTAAACACTCTTCGTGGGATCGACCTTTACTTCCACTGCTACATTTATTTTGAGGAGTATAGGTTTTAATTTGGAGCGCATGCGACAGTACGCACCACAGACCTCGCAAAACCACCAGCACAGTAACACAAACCACCACCAAACAATGCAAAACAACCACTAGATTGCGACATTACTAAACACTCGCACCAGATCAAACGCCTCATGCGCACCTCTACCATCACAACCATCCCTTCTCTTATCTTCTCTGACCAATCTGTAAAGTCTGCCACATAACTAGAGAAAAAATGGGAGACAAGTAGCACCTCTGATTTGCAACATCAACCACAAAGAAAAATGGAAGATAGTACACTCTCAATCTACAGCACCGCTTTACGTAGCATTGCTGCTTCGTCAATTGATATTTGCCATGCGTGTTATATAACGTGATTTGTATCCATAAGTGTATGGTATCAAATTTTGTAATATATTAATGGAGTAGAAAGTGTCAAACCCACAGGGATTGATATTCGAATCCGATTAAGTACTATAGTTATTTTAACTCTCTCTTTATTTAGAGGAATCAAATTTTTGAAACAATGTCTTTATACTAAACTAATGCAATTAAGATGAAGAATGCAAATAATGGAGGCAAATTGTGAAGTTTTTATCAATCTATGAAAGCCTAGAGAATGATTTAACCGTACTCTCAACAATATTTTTCAACCTCTATTGTCATTTCTATGAATTTTTCCAAAAGTTACAAGCAAGAACCCTAAATTAATCATATTCCCTCTCTCGAGTGCCGAATAGAATCTATTTCTATATTTTAATTTCAATATCTCTATTCCAAATTGAAAATATAAAAATCATCCGTACATAGTTCTTAAGTGAAATAAGCCCCAAAGATTTCGTACCTTCTCTCGAGTGCCAAAACTTAAAGCATCGAATTATTCAATTATTGATTAGGTAATTGAAAGCATTACGTGAGAAGCAACATAAATAAATTGATGGAAAAATCAAAGAAATAACTGTATTAGAATAAAAGCATGTCTCAAGTAGGTTACATCAACCCTTAGAATTGAAGTTTTAGAACAGAATTGAGATAAGTGACAATATTAAATGGAAAACAAAGAACATGGAGAAGAAAAAGAATAAGAAAAACTCGTTTTGCCACTTAATTTCTCCTCCTGAAGGTCGTCGATTCTCTCTCAATTAATTGGTGTTCTTCTTTGCCTCTTTATACTGTTTCCTCTCTTCTTTTTGGTCTTCAAGTTAGTATTTATAGTCCCTTAAGGTTGCAAGATGGATTAGGGTTGGATTGGGCCCAAAATATTTTAAAAGAAACACGCCTTCTTCTTATCCGTTGGCAGCATCGCAGCGCCACGATGTTTCGTATACTGGCCACACATCGCCTGTTTCGCTAACTTCTCTATTTCTCGGGTGTTACGCGCCTAGCTCTGCATCATTTTTTCATTTCTTAGGCACCCAATGCAGCGTCGTGGCATACAACATTCTGCCTTCCCTAATTTTGCTCATTTTCTAGCCTCTTTTCCACCTCATTCTTCTCTCATTTTACTTCCATTCCTTGCCAACTTCCGTGATCAACACTTAGCTTCATTCCAAGTCCCAATCAATGCCGTTTTGTCCTCATTGTCCAAACTACCAAAACAACATGAACACACACATCAAAACGCTCAAAAGTATTACACTCATCAATATTCAGTTTATTGTTGAGATTTCCTTCTACATCTTACAATGTCACGTACGATAGTTGCTCTCTCATCATCGAACAATCAATGGAAACTTCTCATCTATGCCTCCATCCACTATTGTAATGTGAGAGAAAGAAATGGGTATAGAGAGAGAAGAGATGGGAAATTAATTAGGGTTTTGGGATGAAATTTGTGTATATAATATTTAATATTTAAATATGAAATATCTGATTTTTGAATAATGAAACTTTCATCCTAATTTTAGAATATTTACCTTTAAAAATTGGGTGGAACGTAATTTTCACTTTTTTCTACTTTGCTGGCCCTTTAGCACTGCCAAATCCCATGTGACTCTAGAAGTATAGCAGAGCTCAATTAAGGATGGCATACGAGTTTCGAGAGCTCAGGCTCGGCCAAGCCCAAATTTTAGGACTTGACCCAAGTTGGGCTAACTCGTAAGGTTCATCGGGCTGCACGGTCCAACTCGTGACACCAGCCATTTTGGCTGGCGACTTAAATGAGTGGTAATGCTGTAATAGCAATAAGATTAACTATATAATGATTGAGCATTCCTCCTTTTTTTTTTCGAGGAATTCCTATAATTGCCTCATTCTACTAGGTTTAAAATCAAATGGTGGATCAACTTTTCTGAAATAACTTTTGAAACAAATCCATTTCTTTGATTCAAACCATCTTTTTTTAATCATTACTTATAATCAATAGAATTAAAGGTTTTATATAACTTTAAAATGCGATAGAGAACTCGGATGCCTATCACCACTAGCTGGATAGGAGATTGTGGTGAAATTGATGAAAGAAGAATAGGATTATTTGTCAAAATTATATGTCAAAATCATTGGTAGAGGGAACGCTTCTCCCTTAAGTATAATTCATTTATGAGAATTGTAGACTAATAGATAAAGAAATGAATTCTAACATAAACGACAAAGCTAAAAACAAAATTTAATAAATATATTTGTCTACTTTACTAAATAAATTTACACATTTCTGGTAATCCTTTGAAAGGATTGTATAAAATTTAAACTGTTAAAAAAAAATAGAAAAATCGTTAGCCGGCCCAGCCCAATGAAACCAGAGCCAAGCCTCAAAATTTTGGCTTGACTTAGGCAAAAAAACCTTTTTATTTTTATTTTTTGCTGGGCCGCACACGAGCCGTAACCTTCGGCTTGACTGGTTGACGCCCTATGCTCAATTGGGAAACTCTACATTGTTTTCAGTAAATTAATCGATGGAATCTTGGAATAACTTATTTTATGTGGTTGTACGTTGTTAGACATTATGTAGCTTATGTTTGAGAATTTTTTTTTTTTTTTTTTTTTTTTTTTTTAAAAAAAATTTTTTTTTTTTTTTAAATTTTTTTTTTTTTTTTTTTTTTTTGGTTGAAAATGAGTTTTGTAATAGTGAATACTGGGAAAATATATGATTAAAAATTAAGAAAAAATTTTGAATTTACGTGCAAAATATTTTACCTTAAAAATGTGTTATTGAAAACGAGTTTTAGGAAAAAAAACAAATCTTTAGATATTGGAGATCAAATAGGGACTTCTATAAACAATAGACATTGGATTATTGTGTTCCCTACACAGTAGAGTAAAAGGATTTATTCTAGAAATTCTCCTCAATTGTTAGAAATGCTCTTTAAAAGTGAAATATTCTTTATTTTAAAGAGTCAACTCCTAAAATTATACTTCAAGAAACTTTTCAAATTAACATTTTAAAATAGAGAGTTTTATTTTCAAAATTTGGAGAGCCAAATCCACATTTTATAATTAAATGCATTCAAAATATTTAAATTTTTATTGCTACATATATTAATCCAATTAAATAGTATATATAAAGAAAATAGAAAGAAATAACACAACTATTTGGAGGGAAGGTGGTGAAAATAAAACGTAAGAAAAAATAATAAATACGTATCAAGAGTAGTAAAATTAAGTGTTCAAGAAAAAAAAAAGTTGTTGAAGTATTAAAAAAATTTTACCCTTTAGATTTATAGATACTTTCTAAATTATAAAATATGCTTTTTAAAAATTGAGAAATTTTCGAACATCTTTGAGAGTATTTAAAACTAAAATGCTATTTATTTCAAAAGGTCAAACCATAAAATTAGAATCCAAATTTTATTTTAATTTTTTAAAGTAAAGAGTAAACTTTGCTCTCTATATTTAAAGAGTCAAACTCATTCCCTATATGTAATATCAAGGTCGAATTGAATAACATTGAAAATCTCAATACTCCATTATTTAAAAGAACAATGCTATACATTAATAAAATATAGAGCAATGCTATTCATTAGTAAAAACTACAAGTAGTGCGAATAAAAGGAGTATGCCACTACTATCATACAGCACAAGCCAAAAGCTGTATCTAACAAGAACATTCTTCAACACGCTTCAGTCTTCGGGTGAGCATAGCTTGATGTCAAACTACTATATTCTTCGAACTATTTGCCCGTAATCTATGTTTACACTATCTTCTCTAAGTAGTTTAGTGTAAAAAAATTTCCCTGCACTGATGTTACAACATTTATGGACATTCCAGCAGCTGACCAAAAGAATTTTCTGATGTAAGTTGACAGTCAAAAGAATACCCAACATTTCGATGGCTCACGCACCGGCAAAATCATGGTGGAGAATCCAGTATTGCAGTGACGTCAAAGTTACTAACCACTCCTTCACTTAAAAGACGCATGGCAGCTCCTTGAGAAAATTTCCTTGCAAACAAAAAACAGGGAACAGACGTAGTATTATTACTGCACCACTCAGTTCTGAACTCGGTTTCATGGTATATATGGTTGATATCCTGAAAAATATAGGAAACAGCTAAGTTAGACGGTTAAATGCAAACCCGGTTGGAAATCAGAAGCGAAATAAAAGAAGATACTAAAGAGTAGAATGTAGCTAAAATCATATAACTAGCAAACTATCGTCTGAAATAAAGAGTACTACAAAGAATTCTTCAAGTCATGGTTTGTTCCCAAAATGTATGACTAATAAAAATTTATTATTTGAAACTTATAAGTAGACTTCTTAAAGCTGCTAGGCAAACATGATCCCCATTAGAACATGATGGAATTTGTCATGGTTATTATCTATCTCCAATTTAGACAATCAAGACATTTATTGTCCAGTAACATGAGAGATGCAATCTGCTAACCTTTATTCTTTTTATTTGTTGAGGCCCGGCATCTGCATAGCTAAATGTAATAGGATGCCAACCTTTATTTTCCATTTTTGTAGCAGATAGGTTCCACACAGTGTAGGTCACCGTCCTTCGTTCAAGTTGAGATTCAAGATCATTCATCTATCCAAAAGACGAAAAAGGCATAATTGCTAAACAATTCAAGACATGACTAGAATTTATAGTAAATCACTAAATACGGGAAAGCCGTAGAATGTTTAGTTCCTAAGTAACATCGTAGGGATCACAAAGCAATCCAACTAAGAGCGACACAATGGAAAGACAAATAGTATATGTTAGTTATACAAAATATGTATATCAGAACAAATATTTACGTACTGCAAGTAATGTCTGCACATAATGTTCATCCGGGATACAATTGTGTTGTTTCTGAAGTTTCTGCAACCAACAGTGGGAACATAATCAGTAAATCAGATATGATCGGTAATATTGTACATGAAAAAAAAGAAGAAATAGCATATTAATGAATCAAGAGAGGAAGAAAACAAACATGACACTTCTGAAATCCAGAGATGGTCGGTCTTAAGAGAAGGTTAATATCCATTTCAGAACATGCAGCAAAAGTAACTTACAAGATTCAGCTTTCCTTTACTGACATCTACTGGTGGCCGTCTCTGCAAAGCCGTAAAACTTGTGAGTTTCCATAAAAAATAAAAACTTAAAATAACATCCCTTAAGAGCAGACATATATTCACAAATGTAGCTAAATTCTTTTGTTAATAAAAAGGATCAATAATAATTCGGCTTTTTTATGCAGATCGGGTGTTCGCCCCGGGGGGTGGGGGGAAGACTATGGATAGGAAGCAAAGAAGTTGTCAACTTTCTTCTACAGCAGAGATAATTAGGCGGATGGGATGGGACATGAATAGAAAACATGTGTAACTAACATCTGACCTTTTTATAACCGACTATGGTTAAAACAAAATCTATAGTCTTGGGCTATGATGCTCGGACTCGAATACAGGTATCGGGTACCGGTATGTATCAAAATCGAATCTTTTATTTTCTAAAATGTAGGAAACGGACACATGGCTAAAAGGAATCCAAATTTTGGACAAGAGCACGTGGATACGTCTTTCAAGTTTCAATTTATTTACTAATCCAAAAAGTCATTTTAAATATATGAAAATCAATTATTCACACAGAAGAAAATGAGTATTAAATCAGGAGTTAAGACGAATAAAATAAAATTTTGAAGTTTAGCTATCAATTATGAGAAGTTAATTACTAAATGTTATAAAAAATAGAAAATGAGGGGCTTAATTACAATTTGAACTTAGTGGAGCACTAAGTAACACTATATGGAACTCATTTTCATTTTATACGAATAAAACTCTAAAACTTAGTGGAGCACTAAGTACTACTATATGGAACTCATTTTCATTTTATATGAATAAAACTCTAAACCACCGATACAAAGAGAAAAAAGAAGGGGGGGGGGGAGAAAAGGGAAAGAAAAAAGAAAGAAACAAAAACAGTGAATTGTCCGATTGACACTTTGAGGATTCAACGCATATTCTATATCCATACTCATGTCGTGTCGTGTCCGACACAAATACTCCAACCATTTTGAATAGTCCGAGCATCAGAGGTCATAAATAGTAGCAGACCAAAAAAAAATTAAGCCTTTCTAGCTACAGCTACAGCTACAGCTCTATACAACAATAAATATAGATCTAGAAAGAAGGATATCCAACAAAGAAAATAATGCAGTTCATTATATACCTTGCAGAACTTCCTAAAGATGGGAAAGACGACTTCATCGTCCACGATGACTTCAGCGTGTCTACGGATTAACGCGATCCACTATAATAATCAACTCGTTAGATTTATGCTTGGTATGGGAAATAAGAATAAAAAATGAAAGTTGGCATTTGTCAGCTATATCCAAAACCCACCAAAACAAAAGAATTAAAGTTTGTAAGTTTTCACATGAAGGTAGAAAAGTGAGTAATCCATCTATAATCAGATGCCAAATTTTGTGTTAATAGCCACTAATTTTTGTAGAAGTGGTTGATCGTTGGGACCAACACAATTCATCTTCCATGTGTAAGATTTGGAGAGTGACTGAGTGTGTGTGTGTGTGAGGAGCTCGTGCGCGGGAGCACCTGTGTCTACTAGTGTGGAGAGACAGAGATTAGGACATAATTCAAAAGCGGTATTGAGAATGAGACATCAGTGATTTTATTTCCATTTCAAGTGATATCAGTCATCTTCTTACTTTACCATGGGTGGAATCAACAGGCAAAGGGATATTACCTGCGATCCTTTCCGCCATTTGCCCTGTGGTATAACTGGTGACATCTTTGGATTGTAGCGCACATCTTTTTTATCAAGAAAACTACAACACAAACACAGTGTATAAATGTTGGGTTCTCTACATTTTATAATTCGCTTCCATCATTTATAGAGTCACTAAGCCACATAAAGATTATTCATTTATCTACCTGTCCACAAAACTCCTTGGAGAAGCCGTGAGATAGTTGTAAATATAGCTGAAGTTGTACAAAGGGGCACAGCTGGAAATTAAAACATGTAAAGTCAGGAAAATATCAACGTGCAAGCAGCAAAAGGGTTAAAATATGATGATAGCGGCCTTAACTGATAGACATGATAGGGGAAATTTACTTGGGAAAAAAAGTACGTGGCATTATGAAAGACTAGGGCTTAGATGGTATAAAGACTAGGGCTTAGATGGTATAAGGAAATGGGTTCTAACTGAACATACAGAAACCAATCCAATAAATGAAATATTTTTTAGCGGTGAAAGATTAAACACAAGCAAAATGTGTAGTAACATCTCAAGGGCATGGGAACATGTAGGAATAATAAGGCCTATTCTTTTTTTGTTGTCCTTCTTAAGCATAAACATAAATGGGAAAATCACTAATGTACATACAGGTAATTTTTAACTAAACAAAAGAAAAAATTCTGATCTCCGATACAAATAAAAGTGAATAAAAATTGTGTCTTGAGCTCACGAGCACAACCAACTCATCACTGAACTCCTTCGTCCAAATTTCACTTATCTTAATGATACATGATACAAGAATGTCTTAATCTGAAGTATAAATTAAGAACATTTGAGTGGTCATAGGTCAATTCTTTCACAAGTCAAAGCCAGCTAAACATATAATGCAGACACTCAAATGCATAGAGGAACCACTTTTTGTTGTCTAACAGTAACGATAATGAACCTGTCTGATAAGAGAACAAATCTCTGATTTGCTGGATCTTCAAGAGCAGCGTCAAGTAACAACCTCTCGGCTTCAATCATGCTTGCTTCTCCCCAGACTACCTACACCATCATCCCAACCAATCAATTATACTGATTATAAAAAGAACATCTTGCTTACCAGAAGAAGTAACATACTATTATGTCAAACAAGCTTGTGTCCCAAAAATTCCATGAATGTGCATGAGAAGGGGCAACGCTCTTCACCCAATTCGGACATAATATGTTAACCAGAAAGCAATAAAACAAATGTCACTCCCTTATTTGAGACTATTTTGTATTTTCTTCTTTGACAAATGCTGAGAACTAAATTTTAAGAAATTACTTCTTGCCCATTTCCTTTCATGCTCAGCAAGGGAAACTAAACTTTGAGAGAACTTTTGCCCATTTCCTTCTAGCATATTTCCCTTATTGCCCATTTCTGAAAACTAGATTTGAGAAATACCAAATAGGAAAATTGTAAACAATTTTAGCTAAAGTTGAAATTAAGAAAAAATCAGGGGATATGGTGGATAAATTTGGATTCTCTCAACTTGTAGTAAGTGTTTGTCTATTTCTGTTATTTCCCCTCCCACGGATCAAGTCTAAGAAACAATTTTATTTTCATTCCCTCTCTTCTAAGTTCGTAATACACCACTCAGCAAACAAACATTCGGTAAATGATGCAGTTACCTTAATACCATTTTTCAACTGTCGATCATAAAAGAAACTAGATCTTGTAGTGGATTCATCAAACACAAAACCAGGCTGTGAATGTATGTATATTGAAAATTTTGCCCTGTCTACATTCTGCAAGCAGGAAAAACATCAGTAAACAAACATGAAAAATCCTAAAAGAAACCTAATTACTAATTTCTTCAAATAAAATACTAAATTTTAAAACTCCGCAGATTCTTCATCCAAGCACGAAAATATACGAGTAAGCAAATGCACAAAATCATGATGTTCTAACCAAATTTTCCCACCACGAACAAAATAAAGACAACAGAATATACAAAATGTAAAAAATTATCCACGAGGAAAATTGAAACAAATTAAACAGGATTGAAATGAAAACAATATCAACAATTTAAGTATTAGAACCAAAAGAAACTACTAAGGAAAATTTTTAGTAAATATATTTTTCAATTCCACAGAGAGAGAGAGAGAGAGAGAGAGAGAGAGAGAGAGAGCGCTCACCTCGAAAAAGCTTCCCCAAAGGAAATCGAGAGGCAAATCTCTCCGAGCAAGGAATAGAAACGCGATTTTGGGATTGCCTTCGAACCGATCAAAAAACACTCGAGATTCCCGAGGCAAGGTTGAATAAGGAGAGACCGAAGACTCCGAGTACTTCTGCAGTCTAAAGAAAGTCCATACACAGAGAATGATGGACACCACAATAACCATCTTCCACACCAGCCACAGAACGTGGCGCGGATTCGCCGGCAACACAGATGCCGGAGCCTTCTTCATCATCAGTACTTATAACAAATTAATAATACACTCCTTACCAATCCTCTTCCTTTTCTTCAGCAATTCAATATATCAAAATTAAACAAAAAAAAATGCACAAAAGCGTTGATTGTATAATTGGTAAATTTTAGGGATAGAAAGAGAGATTACATGTACACAGCAAATAAATTGATAGAATTAAGTGAAATTTGTAATAGATATATGAATATTGATTTGAAAGTAAGCTTCTGGCGGTGGTTTTTTTCACTGTACTCAGTTTTGTTGCAGCTGAAAAGTAAAAGGTGCCACGATGTCGTTTCAACTTGTGAGTGGGTTTGGAAAATCTATCCTTTTCGCCATTGACAGTGACTGGAATTTTTATAATCAGATATAGGAATTATTTGTTATTCCATCTCTTGTTCTTGTTCTGAAAAGGGCCAAAATTCGTACCTTAATGCGATTTATTAAGAAAATGATTGCAAATCTGATGCCGAAGGCAATTAATAAATTAGGGTTTATGCTGTCAATGACTTTGATGTATTTACACCTGAAAGCAATGAATGATCAATAAAGAAAACCTATTTTTAATTATGAAGAAATGTGAATAAGTACTTATTTAAAAAAAGCAATCTAAAATTCGGATACTCGTTTGATAAAGATCAAATTTGTTAAGAGTTGTTCAAGAAACTTTCTATTTTTAAAAAGCATATTTTATTATTTGAAAATTATTTATAAATTTGGAGAGTTAAAATTTAGAAGTATTCCAACAAATCTTTTATATTTAACACTTAATTTTAATACTCTCAAAAAATATTTACTATTTTTTCTATCTTTTATTTTAATTAGTTTTTTTCTCTAAATTATCTTATTATTTTTCTATAAATTGAAACATTTGATTTGCATTTAATTTTCAATTTTGAGTTCATTTTCAATTGTCCTGTTTTGACGTCTACTTTTTGATTTTTAAAAGCGCATTGATTTGTCATTCTAAAAATTGTTTCCGAAAAAAATAAATTAAAAAAAGTGTTTGATTAGGAACCTTAAGAAATTATTTTATGATTTTTTATTCAGAGTTGATTATTCAGTAAAATAAACTGTATATATTTTAGATCTCTCCATATATTTTTTTTCTGTTATAAAAGTAAAATAAAAATAAATAATAAATTAAGTTGACAAACTATCGAAAACAAAAATTAAAACTTAATGGCATGACTGAGAATTTTTATCTTTGTTCATTAAAATATATTTTTGCAGAAATTTTAGATAAATAACTATTAAAGGCTTGAAATAATTTTAGTTTTTCTTTTTTTAGAATTTCTACTTTTTTAAAATTTATTTTTTAATTTTTAATGATTTTATTTTTTATAATTTTATTTAAATGAATTTTCTTAAAGCGCTTATTTATTTCTCATGAGTGTTTTCAACATAAAAAAATCTTATAAGCTTAACATTATGTTCGAAAATACATTTTCAAAAATACTAAACAAATTTATGATATTTTGTAAAATTAAAAAAAAAATGAGAACAGCAAACTAAACACACCATTACATATTTACTTATTCCCATCATCGTTCAAAGTAGAATTTATCATTTAACACATTTCTGATTAGTGGTCAAACATATTATGTACAAATTTCGTACAATTCATAATTGACGTTCACATATTATTCACGCATCCTATAAAACACACGACTTATTATCACTTAAAATATAATTTCATTACCAACGAAACATGCACTAATAAGTTAGTTAATAGCTTCAACAAACAAACAAATAAAGGTTGCGACGTGGAACGTGATACACCAGATTTTGTTAGTGCACCAATCTCCCCCCAATTATGGTCAAACATTTACGTGGTCAATCGTCTTTTTCGATTATAACTTTCGTGTTGTTTAGCCTTCATTTGGAAAAAAAATTATAAAATATTTAATTTTTATATAAATAAAATGTGAGTCGGATAAGTCAATATTACTTATAAATTTATTAAAATGTATTGTTAAAAAAGAATTTTAACTTTTCATAAATCATTTATAAATTAACCAAACCAAGTTTTTGGAACCCCATTTCAGAACATTTTTCTTAGTTTCCTGGCAAATGTTGACATTTTGCAGGTGTAAGGGAATTGGATTTTCACATTTGATTATTATTTAAATCTACCACAATAAAATAATACGGATATTTCTTTCATCTAATCCAGAAATATTTTCTTCATAAACATGATATTTTTTCGATATCACAATAACTAATTCGTTAAAATAGTTTCGAATTTAGTAAAACTATTGTATATGATTTCAAAATAAATATACATTGCCAACGAAAGCTCGCAACACCTAAATGATTTAAATAAATAACCTGAAGCCATGAGCAGCGTCAGTATAAACTTTGCAAATAGTCACTGAAGTTCAAAAATTGCAGAAATTGAAAATTTTCTTTCATTTGAAACTGTTGTTATTCTAATCTGATTTACAGCCTATTCTTCAGGCTGTAACACAATATAAGGTTTTGTATTGTTACTGAAATTCCTACAATTATTTGTATAACAATCCAGGGAAAAAACAAGTACAAAATTTATCCCTGAGCTGAACAATTACCACAAAATCCAAGGATAGCAACATCAAATATGGTTAATTGCAGGGGCAAAGTTGTATATGTCAACCAAGAATAACTCATTGTTGGTGTTCCACATTCCAGAGCACATCGTTTTCAAGAGTTGTTAGCTTTTCAAGATCACTCACAGCATTGTTGACTGCATGAAGGATCATTTTCTTGACCTGTCATGAGCAGATTAATAGATGGTAAATCACTCTTTTACAACACATATTTAGAGGATGTTTGAGTAGGCTTAAAAAGTTCACTTGTAAGTTCTGAACTTTATCAGACAAAGTTGAAAATAAGCAAGTCACTTTCAAGTATTTTGTTACTTAAAAGGTAAGATAATCAAGCATTTTTAAGCAACTGTGAATTTTTTTTTTTTTTTATATTATTTTTTTCAAGCTTAGCTAGACATGCTCATGTAAAGATGTGAGATGAAAATACCTCTAGCTTGTCTTCTCTAGCCCTGTGGTTCTTCGGTAGCATCCTGAACTCTTCAGTTAGTCGAAGGCACTCATGTATATTTTCAGGAGAAACGAAGTCTACAGCAACTTTAGTGCATGACTGCATCGGCAGGAAATAGTCACAAATCTATATATGCTGCAAGCCAGAAAAAATGTTACAACTAAATGAAATAAATCTAATACAGCAAATTTGCCTTGAGATTTCGAACTTGATGTGGACATCCTGCAGGAATAAAAACTGCCTCTCCAAGTTTCTGTTCAAACGTCCAAGGTTCTACGCCTGATGATAAAAATTGTTCCCATCAGTCATTGCAAATGGATGTACTGCAATTAGAAAACCATCGAATATACTTCATGTTCAAAAAGAGCAATGGATGCCACTGAAATGCTAGATACTTGCCAAATTCTTCCTTGAGTCTCTTTTTATGTTCCGAAGTCAAGTAGAATGTCTGGTCATGAATTGGGTGGATAACCTGTATGCAACACAGATAAAGAGAGATGAGTACATGTTTACACTATAATTTTGGGCCGAGCAAATGGTTAAAATAACCTGATCAACTGGACAACAATACGTGTGCCTAAATTCCTTTGAATGCTTAGTAAGATACTCTTTCAGTTTTGTAACATCTTCCCTGCGAAATATGTCCCAGAGAGCACCACCACCAATTTGCTCCAAATGGCCTTCAGATTGTTTCTTTCCTGTATTGGCAATACGATTTAACGTCCCCATCTCACAAACTGCATTTCCAGTTCTCATTTTATTATCCCGACATTCAAATTCTGGCACATTGATGTCACTGCTGAATTTGGAGGTGTTTTCATTTTTCTCTTGATTCCGGCTTTCTCTTTCATCTTGATCTCTATGCTTCTTTTTCAACATTTTGATTGAGTGGAGCTGCTCATTGCTCAAAGCTACGTCGGCGGTATGAGTCAAAATGTTCACCTAAAAAAGTTGAATTTTTCAGAGAACATTAGGATATAATAACATAAAGATACTTATGGAAGACTACAGGATTCAAGTTACGTGTCCATGAGAGTGTAAACTTTCTAAATGAGGAGCAATCATCTTATTTTGATAAAACTAAGACCACTACAAGGTAGAGGAAAATGTGGATAAAGAGAGTTTGAAATTAGAACAAGCCTTCTCCTTCAACTGGGGCTGATAAAATTTCAAAAGCATTCAGGTCAACATTTCGCAACTCGTCATGCTTCTGCAGAATATTAAACTTCAATCTTTGTCATGTCAAGTCCAAATGGACGAAAATATGGCAAACTTTTCAAAGCACCTGAGCACATTGTTGTATTATTAAACTTTCAGCAATGCGAGAAAGGAGAAATACTTGTGCTCATAGCTTATATCTTGCATTTATAAAAGTATCTCCAAGAGACTCTCTATTTTTAAAAAGCATATTCTATCATTTGAAGAGTATCTATAAATTTAGAAAGTTAAAATTTTGAAGCACTCCAATAAGCTCTTCATATTTAACACTAAATTTTATTACTTACAAAAAATATTTATTATTTTTTTCTATCTTTTATTTAACTAGCTTTTCTTTAAATTATTTTATTATTTTCCTACGTTGAAAATTGAAACACTTTGAATGCATTTAATTATAAGATATGAGTTTGACACTTCAAATTTGGAGAGCCAAACCTACTCTTTAAATTAAAATAAAGGATTGGAACATCAATGATTAATCCTACTATCTATCGAAGTGCTTTAGTAGTTCTACCATATCTTACGTACACTAAACTTGGCATTTATTTTGCAGGGAATAAATTGAGTTAGTTTCTTTAACAACCTATGCAGGTAAGCTATGTAAAGAGTGGTAAGGTATTTGAGAAGAACTCTACATTATGCTTTGCATATTAACTATAGTGAAACTGTCTCCAATAGGATACTCATGTCGATGGGCTAGCTGTACAGATGATTGAAGCTCTATTTGATGTTATTGTGTGTCTCTTGAAAATATGTCAATTTCATGGCAGTCAAAGAAACAAATTGTTGTTAAGAGATCTAGCTAGTAGTCTGAATTTCGTATGTTGGCTCAAGTATCCATTGAAATTGCTTGGCTATAATCACTGTTAAAAGAACAGTTCAACCTTCCTTGTGTCCTCATTGGGTGTGACAACACAAGTGCTATTGCTTTTGTTGTAAATCTCATCTATCATGCTCGCATGAAGCACATTGAAACTGATGCAATTCATTAGGGATAAAGTTTTGCAAAATGCACTTATATAAGATATCTTCCTTCTTATGACCAAGTGATGAACTATCTTACCAAGCCGCTAGTATCTCCATATTTCACCTATTTCAAAGGCAAACTCAGTGAGCTTCAACTACCTAGTTGTATGACTTGAGGGTTTAGATTAAACAATTTCGGCCCATCCATTAGAAGAAGACGATGAAAATCAGTGTAAAAAACTCCCAAATTTTATTCACCACAAAATAAATGCCAAGCTTAGAGTACGTAAGATACTGTAGAACTACTAAAGCACTTCGATAGATAGTAGGATTAATCATCGATGTTTCAATCTTTACTAACATTTTTTTCAATAACCAACTATGAAGAGTAGAATTTGAGACCTTCCCTTTCAAACAGGGATAGAACCAATGGCAGAGCCATGACTTAATGCTATAGGGAACAAAAAGTTTTAAAAATTTAATGTACGAATAAAATAAGAAAACTTTATAATATAAATCCCACTTAATATTCTTTATCTATACCAATGTTTTGTTTTGTTGGACAGTTGTTAGATGGAGGAAAATTAATAAATTACTTACCCTAAATTCCTAACCCAAGTCGACAGAGTCGACAACGGTTGGCGGTTCAGTGGCTACAGCAGGGGCGAAGGTAAAAAGATTTACGGATTTTATTTTTGGGAATTATTTCAATTGGGAATAGGGGATTATACGTGAAGACGTGAATAAAAATAGGAAGAAGAAATGGGACAGTGTATTATCTATTGATACAAATAAGTGGGCCTAAAATTATATAAATAAGTGGGCTAAAGATTGAAACAAAAAACATTTGAGGTGGGCTAGTCCATTGAAATTAATAGTTGTTGGGCTAATGTGGGCTAATAGATTACAATTTAGACAATATGAAGTATTTCCCATACAATCGGTTCTTTTTCCCGAATTTTACTCTTAGCAACTCCTATGTTCGAAGCAAGATATTGTCTAATTAGACCACCCTCTTTTATTTTTATTGATTTTGTATCTTTTTTATTGATTTTATTTTCGTTGTAGCAAAATAGGATTCTGCTTGATTGTATCGTGAAAAATGATTTTCTTTTGTGGGAATCCGGGGTAAGACTTCACTATATATGAATATGATAGAATCCCTTTTCATTCTAAATAGAATGATCCTATTCATGGATTAACGAAAATGTGCAAAAACTCTATTTACCTCTGCCATTTTATGAGTCTCTTCCTTTTTGCGTATGGCATCGCCACTCCCGGATCATTAGTTTCTGAGAGGTTAGAAGTATATCTTCGCTTAGTAGGATTAAAGTTATTAAAAGTTAAAAGTTTGAACAAAACAGCCTATTTTATATATATATATATATATTTATATTTATTTATTATTATTATTTTTTTAAATTTATTATTATTATTATTATTATTTTACTGGATTTGAACCTGGGCAACAGTGGGCTGCACCATTATATCCGCCCATGAATAGAACTAGCATAAGATTTAAAGGTATGCTAAACTTTTGGAACAAGTCAAGAACGTCATGTAGGCAAGAACTTGACACAAAAACATGATTTTCCCGATCAAAGTAGTGTCCAACAAGATTTTATAAATAAAATCCCTTATTCACTGAATCTAAATATATTTTCTCAACAAGATCTCGTTCAATGTAAAGTGATACAATGAGCAAGAAATTCATTCTCTATTGTTATTAAACAAGGCGATACCAATTTGTATTGATATCCATTGTTAAATCCAAGAAACGTGACGAATATGGCAAGATGAAAACAATAATTACAAATATAAGAATTTACGTGGACAACTCACAGGCAGAGGAGGAGAATTCAATATAAGGTGAAAAAATACAAGATTTTGTGTTTTCAACTTCTCTAATACAATGAAGAGCCAACTATATATAGAGCGCATGTCAAACCCCAAAAATAGTGTTTTAGATGGAAAGAGTAACCCAAAATCGTCAAAATGAAAAATAGGTTGTGGGCCGGATGATACTGATGCTTGAGCAGAAAGCTCGCATGCAACGAGCGACATGTAGTGTTTAACGCCCAAGCTCACGGAAGACATGCAGGGAGCAGCGATTCAATTCGGCGCTTAGGCACTGAATCTCTGTACAAATTACCTTGTTCACCCCGAATGGCTCCCTAGGTGCCCAGATTTGTGCGCTCAAGCCCCCAAGATTCCTTTATCCATATATTGACCTCTTTAAAGCCTTTTTCGACCAGAACACCAATTCCCAATGGAATTTTGGTCATAATTCAACAAATTTCCACTTTAACATAAATTCTACTACAACGAACGAAGCTTAAAAGATCTCCACCTCTTAACGATTTCCACTTCAAGGAATAGGACTTAGCTCTTCAACAAAAAAAATTCTCCAACAAAACTCTCCACCTCTTCCACAAAGCCCACCTAGGACAAACTGAATATCAATTGAATCCAAGCATTACTCGGCAAAATTATCTTGGGTACCAAAGTTGCTCAAATTATCACCTCAAGCAACAAAATCACAAATAACTCTACAATAATTACAAAACAGGGAAGAAACATACCATGTAACAGAATGAAAACAACTATCTACTTCTATAGAAGGTTATTTGCTAGACTTAATACCTTCAACCACATTTAAAGCATAATCAACTAAATCATCTTCACCGTTTGAGTCTCTCTCTAACAATTAAATATACTAGAGAAAGACTGGCGATGGTGTCAAAGCGACATTACCCATGGCTTTTGAATAAGATGTATTCTTCAATTTAAACCCTAAACCAAACTCCAATGGTATTGTATCAAACTCAAAACTTCACCTGAGTGCCTAGTTTCTGCTGATTGATATCTAAATACTCTATAGAATCCTACAAGACATATAACTGGGACATTTTCTGTTCCTTCATCACAACACGGGTACTTTTGCTAACCTTCAAGACTCCACCTTTACCAGTGTACTCGTACCCTTTCAAATTAAAAGTACTCAAGGAAATATGATTTTTCTTCAAATCTAGCACATGCCTCACCTCATCAAGTGTTCTCACAGTTCCATCAAACAATTTTAATTGTGCCCCTTCTAATACCAGCTATCTGATAGGATCCTCTGATGCTGTGTTTCAACTGAAGGACTTCACGTGCTGTTGCTACTGGAATGCTGATCTGCTATTGCTGCTAGAGGCCTACGAGTCTACTGTTCAATAGAATTGTTAGGCTACAGATGTTGTAAATGAATTATGTATACTGAAGATGTGATTTATGAAGTATAGATCTTGGTTATATTAAATAATGGAGTGAATGATGTATTGGAATTCAACAGAATGAAAGTAACAATTTCCAAGGATTTTGAGAGGCTCGGTCTCTCCCAACTTTGCCAGATTTTCCCTAAATGAATAACCCGACTCCCCCTTGTTACATTTATAAACTCTTACCAACTTTCTGTTACCATTTTGCCCCTTCACTAACGAATTATGGAATACTCTAGAATGAAAAACAAACTAGTATTGGAGGTGAGGGTCTATCACTACTCGCCCCTCCAAAATCTACCTTGTCCTCAAGGTGGAGGTTCTTATGTTTGAGCTGTTCATCGTACAACCACACAACTTCCTTTGCATGGGATCCAACCATGATTGTCGTAAAAGAGAGATGTTTTAACCCTTTGAAGTGGATGGACCAACTTAGCCGGGTAACAATAACAAGTATAGTATCCAAAGCAACTCCATATCCCGTCGCCTCTACCCACA